GCCCCGGCTCCGCCCGCTGCGGGCCGGGCAGCCCCGCTCCGGTCCCTCCCCCGGCCGGCACCGCACGCTCCGGCTTCCCCGTCCTGCGGCGCGGGGGCACCGGGACCCGCGGCCCCGCTCGGGGCGGGGGCACCGGGACCGGCCTCCCCGGCCAGCCGCGGGGTTCGGTTAGCTCAAACCGAACCGGCGGCGCCCGCGGCTCGGCTGGGTTCGGGACAGCGCCCAAGGGAGCCGGGACTGTCCCAGCGCCCCAGGCGGCGGGCACGGGGCCGCGTGTCCCTGAGCGAGGACGGCCACTCCGTCCGCTGGGCGCATCCCTGTGAAGAACGTCCACGATCCAGGACTGCGGAGGCGGCCGCTGCCCACACGGGACCCCCATCCCACAGTAGATCCCAGCGCTCCAGTGGGCGCCCATTGGGACCTGCACCCGCCCCGGGGGCCCTGCGAGGTGCCAGGCCCAGAAGGGCCGTTCCTGGAGCCTGCAGCGCTCCGGGCCCCTTGGGGGCTGATCCCCCCTGGCAGTGCCCGGGCCCCTCGACCCTTCCCGCTGCCTCCCGCAGCCCCAGGCACCCATGGCCGGCGTGAATCGCTGCCCGATCCTCCCTTTCGCCTCCTGGCTGGCAGCAGGTTAAAATGTCCTCACAGGAGAGGCAGCGAGGGTGCCAAGGAGGCGACGAGCGGGGGAGCCTCGCCGCGCAGCTGTATGCTCTGAGGACCGCGTGCTCCAAGGGCCGCGCGCTCCGGAGCGGCTCCCACAGCCTCCTACCCTTGGGGCTGCTCACGATGGGAGCTCAGCTGCCACCCCCAGCCCGCAGAGCAGGGCCCCTCCATTGCTCTTTCCCAGCCCTGCTCCATGTGCTGTCCCCAGCAGGTGCCCGAGCCCGGATGGTGGCCTCTTGTGGTGCCACACGATCCATGCGGGTCACAGGGATGTGCCACGGATCCCCTCGTGTCCCCCTTGCACCCACTCCGTCACACCGAGGCCACCTCCCGCCACGTGCAGAAGTGCCCCTAGACTGTGGCGCGGGGTGGAAGTGTCTCCAGCGTCTCCCCAGCACAGGCCACCTTGCACCCAAGAAAACGGACCTGGCAAGTGGAGATGGTGCCACTCCATGCGCTTTACTCCATGGTGGGACGCAATTCCCAGCCCGGCCGGTGGGATGCAAGCGGCATCGCAGCCTCTCCTCCCAACAGAAATTTGTGCATTTTGGCTGGGGAAGCTGCAGGAATGAGCAGGAGCCCCCGCTGCCAGAACCCAGAGCGGTGGCTCTGCCGTGAGAAGGGCCTGGCCACTGTCCCCTGCCTGTCCACGTGCCCTGTCCGTGCCCCTCGTGTCCTGTCCCCTCAGCTCCCAGTGCTGAGTCCAGGCTGTCCTGGAACAGGACAGGCATCCAGTCGGCTCCATCAGCCTGGATACAGCGCCCAACACAGGATGGGGATGTAGGGTGGGGATGCAGGATGGAGATGCAGGTTGGGAATGCAGGATGGGGATGCAGGATGGAGATGCAGGTTGGGGGNTGGGGATGCAGGATGGAGATGCAGGTTGGGAATGCAGGATGGGGATGCAGGATGGAGATGCAGGTTGGGGGCGCAGGATGGGGACGCAGGATGGGCACACAGGTTGGGGACATTGGCAGGGTGCTGCCGGGCTGCTCGCAGGGCTCGGTGCTGGTGCCAGGCGGGCGCGCGGGGCTCGGGAAGGTCCGTGCTGCCCTCTGCCGACATCCCGCGGCAGATCCCAGCCCGGCTCGCAGCCCTGCGGGTCCCCAGCGCAATGCCCGGTGTCCCCCTGCCCGCTGCAGCGGGGCCTGGCGCTCCCGATCCCATCCCCTGAGGCTGGGGGGTTTGGGGGTGCAGAACCCCCTGGATGGGGACCCTGCAGGGCCCTTGCACGGGTGACCCCCAGCCCTGCACCCCCCGGGCGCCGCGGTGGCACCTCCCGTGGCCCCGGGGGTCGGCGCGGGGCCGCGAGGAGGAGCCCGGGGCTCACGGGGCCACGGGATGGGGACAGCGCACGGGGACAGGGGCTCCCGCGGTGACAACCTGCAGCGCCGGCCCGGGAAGCCCATGGGATTTATCACCAGGGAAGGGGCAGTTCCCTGCTCCCCAACGCCTTTCCCAGGCCCCGCATGGGGCAGGAGCCACCTGCGCCCCGAGGAGCCCCCAAACCACCAGCCCGAGGGGCGGTGCAGCCGGACTCAGTGGCCTCCAAGGTCTTTCCCATCAGTAATGGGAAGTCCAATCCGGACTCTGTGACTCCATGGACACATGGGTGCAGGTAGGTGCCAGGGGGTCTGGGTGCCCCAAGCCCTCCGTGCATGGGGGGCCAGGAACGGAGACGAGCAACCCTGGGCGCTCCGCAGGGCACCAAGCCTATTAGGGATGGGAATTACACAAATGGGTTTGGGCCAGCGATCCTCATTATCTGGGCATTTGCGCTTAATCCCCAGCTCTCCCTCCCGTGCCAGCGGCTCCCCCCGCCTCGCAGCGCCCGCTGCCTCCGCTGTGTCCTCGAGGGGACGCGGGGCCTGTGCGGACACGGGCACAGGGACACGGGCAGGAACCGGGTGCGGATTTAGGGCTGCCTCCCCCCCAGCTTCTCCCATCCCGGCTCTTGGAGCATGCGGCGGGATGCGGGATGGGGTCGGCACTGCCTCTCACTAGGGCTGGCTGGATCATTGAGCAGTTTAGCTGCCCCAGGGCCCTGCCTGGCACCCTGTGGGCCAGAAACAGGCTGCAGAAGGTGGCCACGAAGGCCCCGATGGCACCAGGTAGCGTACTGGACCCTGCGGAGCCGCATGGAGCTCCATGGAGCCGCACAGACATGCACGGAGCCACATGGAGCTGCATGGGGCTGCACGGAGCTGCACAGAGCACGTATGTAACGTGCATATGTGCACGTGCACACGCGGCCTCTGCTTGTGCAGGTGCTGCCACAAGCACCTAGGAGGCTCTTAGAAAGGAGGAAGAGGAGGAGGAGGAAGGTCCCGGCCCTGGGGAGCCCCGAGTGGAGCCTAAGGCTGTTCCCAGAGCCTCCCTATGGCCCCCACTTGCTGGACAAGCCCAGGCACCAAGTGGCTCCAGCCCCTGGCCCCCCACATTATCCCCCCCTTCCTGAAATCCACAGTGGTGAGGGGGATTAGGGGGTTTAGGGCTGGGATGGAGTTGGAAATGGGACGCTTTCAAATCACCCTGCGTCACTTGTGCCATCCGCCGCTCATGTAGAGGGGGATTAAAATTGATATGAAGATTATCGGTGGGGAGGCTGGCGGGGGGGGGGGAAAGGCAGCCCCTCCTCGGGATGCTCTGCTCTGTCCCGGCCTCGCCGGGCTGCCTTGGACCCCCAGATCCCAGCGCGAATCCCTCCGAACCCAAGCGGGCTGTGGCTCCTGAAAATGTCCCGCACAGCCCCAAAACAGTGTACAGGGGTGCAAGGCAGTGCCCTGTGCGGGAACGGGGGAGCTGGGGACGCTGCGGTGGCTGCAGAGGGTGTCCCCAGGGCAGAGGTCCCCAGGGAGCCTGGGAGGGGGCAGCGAGATGGGGAAAGTCCCGGCCCTGGGGTGTGCGGAGCCGCCGGGACCGATTCCCCAGGCTCTGCAATGGGGGCGGCAGCCGGGGGCTGCCCATGTGCAGGAGGGGGTGTATGGGCACGCATGTGCATGCATGCTTGCATATGCATGTGTGTGCATGTGCATGCTTGCATGTGCCTGTGCATGTGTGTGCGTGCACGCGTGTGCATGTACATGCGTGTGCATGTACATGCGTGTGCCTGGTCTCCCGCTCTGTCCCCTCTGGACGCAGCCCCCGGGTGCAGGATTCGGCCCGAGCTCCCCTTGAGCGTCCTTGAAAATCGTGGCTGGAGGTGGGGGGGGGATGAAGTGCCCCCTCTGCCCCCCCCGCTGGGACCCTCCGAGCAGGGGCCCAGACCCCCCCCGCCCCTGGGACCCTCCAGGGCCCCCCCCCCGCGCGCGGGGG